AAAGTGGAAAATATGTATCAGCAAATGGTATATTACAACCGAATGCATGTGAAAACTAGATTGTCCAAATCTATATTGTCAAAGATTGTAGGCTAAAAATTATGTAAATAACTAATAAAGTTTTTAGCTAAAGTAAAAACTTTATTAGTTATTTACATAATTTTTTAGCCTAGGTAAAGTTCCAACTCTTTACAGCAAAATTTCTGATACCGAACCAAAAGAGCCAAGTTGCTCCATTGAGAAGATTATTCCACAAACAAAGTGTGAAAATAGCATTACATTTTTACAATCTTTGAAAGGATTTAGAGTTGGGCATTTAAACATCGCTTCGTTAGTCAAGCATGTTGATGAATTAAAAATATACTTGAGAACCAGATTCACGGATCGACATTTCATATTTTCCGATCGTGGATTCCCAGTCCATCCGTCACCAATCGTACGGATCGACAACATTTTTGAGGCCTCCCTTGGACACTCGAACGCTTGAGCACTAGAGGCACGGATCGACAGTTCATATTTTCCGATCGTGAATTCCTAGTCCATCCGTTACCAATGGTACGGATCGACAACATTTTCAAGGCCTCCCTTAGCCACCTTAGCACTAGATTCACGGATCGACAGTTCATATTTTCCGATCGTGAATTCCCAGTCCATCCGTTACCAATCGTACGGATTGACAACATTTTTGAGGCCTGCCTTAGACACTCGAACGCTTGAAAACCAGATTCACGGATCGACATTTCATATTTTCCGATCGTGAATTCCCAGTCCGCCCGTTACCAATCGTACGGATCGACGTTCAGTCTTTACCAATCGTTATGACTATATACAAGTCTTCCATCCGTGCCCAAAATTTCACGAAACGAACGATCGGTATGCATGCGACAGTATTGGGCAACCATCACTGCAAGCCATGAGAGTGAGTGGTATGTTTGTTTGGGAGCTGGCGTTGGAAGTGGAAGCTCCTGGATGACCCAGGCACTCATTATCCACAAGCGACACACTTGTTAACTCCTCATAGTTTAACCGAACCTAAAGGAGAATGATGTATAGTGTTAATATTGATATTTTTGTTGCAATTTGCGTGTTTTTGTAGATATTTGATACTAAAGATTCTCGAAGCAATGTTAGAGCAAGGGTGGCACAATATTGCAGCAATTGATATCTCACGACGCGCGACAGACAAATCCGTTCTCATTTTCCAACAACGTGAACCGAAACGTTGTCCAATCATGTGCCTTAGCTTAACTGATGCTGACAAATTGCGTCTAATTAACATGCCTACCCAGCTGGTTGACCTCTTCAAACAAATTCTCCTTAGTCGATGGCCGAAGGGAATCCAGGAGGAAAAAGTCATGAATCTAAGTTTCGGCAGTGTCCGTCAAATCAAGCTGAAAGGCTGGCCTTGGAATGGAGGGTTGAATAACGATGCTTATCATATCCGAAGCTTTCTTTGTAATATCATCGAGGCTTTTGCCGGACAAGGTTGGAGAGTGCTGATAGCCGGTGATGTTTCTGCCAAGTATATTCACCAAGATAAAGGCCCTGATTACCCGATAGATGTTCACAGTTTGTGGTTTATATATGAACCCAACACGACCCAGCAACCCACCGCCCCATCGTACGGGTTCAGCGTCTCGTCCCCACCGTATGGTGTTGGTGTGCCGCAAGGCATGCCTTCTGGATACGGGGTGCCTCCAGCAACCGCACCATACCCACCGACCGGCCAGCCTTCAGGATATGGGCTGTACCCTAACCCGAACGAGCCACCTCCCACCTATAACCAAGCTACAGGATGGAGTGGGGAGAAAAGCTGAACAAACTTATTAACAAGCTGACTTACTGTTACTATAGTATTTAATTGGCTGTATATACATGATCCCGCGTAGCATCGGACATTGATATATAAACTAGGAGTAAACCATATTGGTGTGACCACCGCAAATCAACAGTGTTGTTGCTGACACATCAATCGTCTCCCCCGCCAGTCAAAGTTGTCTAAAATATAAGCAGAACACTGGAATTTAGAAATAATTTAATTTATTTATTTATTAAGGAAAAAAGAAATATCTGGGTTTCCGTTTTCCCGACCCTACCTAGCTTTTGGACGCCGTAATCCCGACCCTAAACTTCGATCATGCTTGTAAGTGTTTCCACGTAGAGGAAAATGTTTGTGGAAAATGGAAATTTGAAGCAATTTTAGGGAAATATATTTTTGGATGTGGAAGCACTGACTAAACAAAATGGCGTCCGGTTGTTAGGAAAATTAAAAAAAAGTTTAAAAGAAAAGTTAAAACCGATCTACCCTACCTAAGTTTTTACAAGAAGAAATAGGAAACCCACATATTTTTTTTTGCTTAATCAGTTTACGGAAGTGCAGCCGTGCATTGTGCAAGTGAACGGTGTAAGGATATTCATGCACTCTTCACCGAAACTGAGGTTAATAATGATTTTAGCATATACCAACAAAACTGGCCAAGAAACAATACTATAATTTTTGAAACAGTTGTATGATAAATCCCATAATAAAAATAGTTGTACTTGTAAGGAAAACAGTATTTATACAAGCTTTTAGTAATCCCATTTATTGGAAATAGTCAATAAACACTGTTAAACCTAACTCCAGCTGTGGCCTTTGTTGTCTTTGATGGTTATTCGCATTAACTTCGTTTAGTAAAAACTTTGGTCGTCTCTGTAAGCTGAACAAAACGAGAGGACATTTTGATTTGGTTACTATTATCATTTCATATTATCTTATTTTTTAATTAATCGCCTAATTAGTATAGTATTGTAGAAATTTATTTCAATCATTTGTATCACAGACTGAGTCGCATTTCATTCTTTTAAGCATTCCTGAGCGACACAATTGTACAGCTTCACTTGACACCATTGACTGAAAATATCTTTCTGGCTTTCGCTTAAATTTTGAATTTCTTTTGTGTGGGTAACATTCCAAACTGGCAGCACGTAAAACCACCATTCATACGAACCATGCTCCATTTCTTTCTCAGCCAGTTCAAAGGAGAGGGTGTACATGGCATATGCTAAATCTATTTTACCGTTTCTTTTCATAGTGATAAATCGTCCGTGGTGGACGTCCCCGTTGCCGTCTTTAAAATGAAACTGGTTTACTTTTTCTTCGTTTTCACCGACATAGAATCCATCGAGTAGGGATTCTTTCACACCGTCGGGCAAATTTAGTCTCTTCTGTAGTCGGTTGGTTACGAATGCTTCAAATTCGTCCATCGGAATTTCTTTGACGCTTTTGCAGGAATATTTTTCATCGAAATTTTTGAAGGTTAGTTTCTTCATTTCGCCCTCGCATTCGTCCGACTGCTTTTTTGTTTTGTCCGAAAGTTTAAAACTCTTTTGTAGTTTCGTATAAATATCAATAGCACAGTCGGTGGCTTTCGACGCGAGATCAATAGCATTTGCAACCTTTGCTGTTGTTGAAGTCATAATTGTAGCCTTCTAAGCTTGAAGCAAACTGTGCAAACTAGTCGAAATTTCGGAGCGAACTTTGTGTGCAGGTTGGTCGGAAACCCACGAATAATTTATATACTGACAACAACCAATGAGAACGCAGTTTTTTGGTCACGTGTATTATGAAAATACGCATGGTTGTATCAAATTCGTGAAAAAACTTTTTTTGCTTTTTCTTTTCAAACTTTAGTACAGTGTATAATATCTATATAGACATTATAGCATACTCAGTTTCTCGTGTACTGTATATTTTATATTGTATGTACTAGCGTATAGATTTGTAGGTTATTATAACAAAGCAGACATAATTTTCCTTTTGTCTTTGAATAAATTTTAGATATAATATCTTGTGTTTTCGTTGTTAAAAATACTTTGGCATTTTCTTTGCGAAAGGAAAAGGCAACTGAAAGATTAAGCTGTTTCAAAATTATTGTTTCGGAACTTTGTTTTGTCGAAAAGAAACCGGTAATCCTTTGATTTATATGGTACTTTACAAATGAAGTTGAGATTATAATAATTATAAATTAATTCACTGAATCCGATAATCTCAACGATGCTGATTCCCTGATTTCCCATAACTTGTCAAAATTATTTTTTCTTATTTTAAGAAATGTTATCTCGTTTTTAGAACATTTACTTGTCAAGCAGAGCTTGTCAAGAAAATTTGGATTATAAGATAATAATCTTCAGAGGAGGTTGGACACGGTCCGAAAAGGATGATGGGAAGCATTTCTGTGGTTAACTGTTTAAAGCGTCAAAAAATTATCCAAAATATCAGTTTTAAGTATGTCTTGTGTTCGTCCTCTCAAAAGTTGATTCTGCCTGCCTTGTCACCTATCGATCGGGCTTCCCATTGGTTGAAATATCCACCAATCATCCTTTTCGAACCGTGCCCAACCTCTGAATTGTCTTGTAAAAGGACGAGATAATTTTGTTTATTTTGCTTAACTAGCTAGTATTTTTTATCTTGAAATAAGTTTTGAAAAATTTGCAGTATATATACAGCTATATTAAATATGCCATAAAGTAATAAAGTACGTAATATATAAACTATATCTATGTGCTGTATGAACAATGGGTAAAACGTCGGCTATTTACGCAAAAATGGTTCCATAAATAATCAGGGTGTCCACAGGCCTTGAAAATCCTGGAAAGACCTTGAATTGGAAAAAAAATAATATTCCAGGACTGGAAAGTCCTTCAAAATCAGTTGAAGTTCTTGAAACTCTTGGAATTAATTTCCAACATTTGTGATTTTGATTAAAATTACTGAATAAAGTGAATTATTTACGGCAAATCCGTGCCATTTTCAAAGATTTTTCCCAGTTCCAGGTTATTGAATTTATTGGAAAAAGGGCCTTGAAAGTCCTGGAAAAGTCCTTGAATTTCACCTTCACGAAAAGGTGGACACCCTGAATAATATTAATACAACACAGTGTTACTGTCAGGCCTGTCGGTAAAATTATATACAAAAATACTGATAAACTGTTAATTAGTGGTGGAAGTTATGGATTCAAAACACATTTTGATTTATTTTCTCATATTATAGGAGGATGTAAACTTTGATAACAATATAGTATGGTTTAATTTTTATTCATTATTTTTTCCGATAAATTATCGTCTCTTTCGCTTTGAGCTGAATTATTGATGAGGACATCCACTAAATCGCCTGCTGTGATAGACGTACAAATTATGGAAGAGGAGTAGCATTTCGTATTCATTTTCTTTTTCATTGTTGAAAATAATCTTATGTACATCCGGATTTTATATTATAATACACCGTATTATTAATTGATATTGGCCTGGTCACTTGTATCATAATAGGTACATTAATTTCACTTTTAAAAGCACCATACTTTTGAGACTGCAGTTTCCTATTTTCGTTTTAATATTTATTTATAACTTTCGATGAACATTCATTTTCTAAATGTTTTTCAACTTAAACCGCGTCAACACATGAAAGCATTAATATCATTGAGTTGAAAAGTGAACGTATAACTCGACGGCCACAATTGCACTCGATTTCAGTTGATCGGGGAAAACATATCGTCAAACTTTGGAGCAACTAGGATGGGAAACATTCTGACCTACATTTGGGACAGGCTTTTCTCGCTCTTTAATCTTATTACTATTGGACGTGACCAAACAGACGAAGACGTGTTGAGTATAGTCAAAGCCGGAGACGAAGTCGGCGTATGCGAGCAAAGACCGAGGGTCAATCGTGAAGTAATAGGACAAAGTCATGAAAAAAGTTTATTCAAGGTAACAACATAGTTGTGTACTTCCACTAAAGTAAACACTCTAGCTGATTTCCTACCAAAATACATGGTACAATATTGCCCGCAAGATATATCAATTTAGAAATGTCTATACGTATAAAATTCCACCTCACTACCATGGTAAGTTAGTTAGTAATTAACTATATATAACTAAGCATGCAATAAACCGTCTAGAATATATAAACTGTTCAATTGACACGACAAATTTAGTCTCGAAACTCTCTCCTTAGACTTGGATCAAGTCCGTCTCTCTAGAGTCCGAGGGAAAGCGCGAGGTGCAATAAAGCGGGAAAGTTTGAGGGACTTGATCCAAGTCTACTCTCTCCTCCGCTGAGGCTTACATGAAGTTTCTAACTGAGGGAAAAGTGAGCGCGCAACTGATGGGAAGAGCAAAGTTCAGGAAACTGTTTAAGTTATTTGTAACTACTTAGGAGGTTCTGCAGAGGAGAGAGGTCTAGAAAGTAATAAACCATCTACCTAACAATAATTAACTAATAGCTCTGAATATTAGTTTGCATTAGAGGTGTGCATCGGATCGGATTGGACGTTTATAATCCGACAATTGGCTAATTAATGTTTAAAATCCGATCCGAAATTGTCTAATCCGAATCCGATCCGAGTTGTGATAAAGAAATTTAATCCGATCCGAAGAATCCTTTAACAAAATAAATTTCTCATTCAAGTTGAAATGTTTAACCAAATAAATATAAAAGCAAGAAATACATGTCAAGAAGCGGACAAAGTGACGTCCGATTGAAGTATCAAACGAAAAATGCGGCGACAACCGCGATAATGCTTTGATAAATGCATGGATAATTAATTCTTGCAATAATGCATGGATACTTAATTCATTTTATTTCGAATATCGAAGTCCGATCCGACTACGAAACAATTTTATCAATCCGATCCGATCCAGAATGTATATTTTTGTTCGGAAATCCGAACGGATCGGATTCGGATCGGATTTGCACACCTCTAGTTTCCATACAGTTTGAGTGGATAGAAAAAATATCAAATTATTATTGTTTGTATAGTTGTACTAATAAACAGAATAATGTTTTTGCTTTTTAAAGTTAGCAAGAGGTGAATATGCTCATATGGTAGAAAGGCTGTCCACCCGCTATAAACTCTCTGAAAATATTACGTCACAAATGTTGCAAAAAATGGACAATGATGTTCCATGTGGCGAACACCCGTTGAAAGATGAAAACTATTCTGTTTTAGTGGTGAAACGAGAAACTGATTTCGATGTGAAATTATTTAGAGCAAGTTTCACAGATTATACCCGAGAGAGGGTTGTGTGTATTGAGTGAGAATAAACAATGCTAGAGACCTTGTGAATTGTGATTTTAGCTAGTGACCTTTTAATAAATTATTTTCATGTACATAAGGCCAAATAAAAAAATACTTGGTTAGCGTCATACTCTCATAAATTTTCTGAGGCGTTAGGGCGTTTTTTTTGAAATTTTTACTCGTTTTTAAAATTTTTTAATATTTTATTTCGGGGGGGGGATGGGGGCGGTTTTCCGCCATATCGGTGATATTTTGTACTGATGTTGCGAAGGCCGCCATTTTGATATAAGAACCTTACCCACGCGCTCTTCAGCGATCAGTATATAGCGCGAAGGTCTGAGTATGAAAAAATTTCAAATATTAAACTGTTTTAAACTGTGAAACGAAGACTGATTTACATGAAAGAAATTTAAAAATTCAGACAGAGGCGGCAAAAATCGACAGGCGGGCGGTGACGCTAACACCTTTTATTTGGTTTAAGTAAATTGTTGTAGTTGTTTTGCTTAATACTATTGTTATATTTTTCAATTATCATTTTTCAAAATCTGCATTACGAGGACATTGTATTATTCTCCGTTGTATTATTTATTATCATAAAGACCATGCAGTGGCACCGCCAAAGCGGAGGGAGGGGCCTGCTCCTCCCCACCCCACTGCCCACTATCAGCTTTACAGAGTGTATAGTTTTAGATTCGTACAATTCCAATGAACTGAACGCACTGGGATCACACTGGTAAAAGTATTTATTTGTTTTTCTTACTAGCGGCTCAATGGAATAAAGTATTTCAGTGTGGGTGTTTCTCCAAATCCCCCTTCGGAATGCGAAATTTTAAGTTCGAAATTCCGCTTAATGCCCCAATTCTGTTACAGATTCGCGTTAATGCCTTGCCACTTTTCGACACGATTTATTCCAACGCAATGCAATGACGTCTCTGGCGCTCACTGGGACACAACTTTTAACCACGGTTAATATTTAACTTTCATACATATATTAATTTCCCTCATATATAGACATGTTTTTCTACATTTTCCTATTTAAACAAGCTGTACCACAGGTTGCCTGCTTATATGTCCTATTTGATGTATCAATAAATATCATTGCGAAACTCATTAAAATAATTCATGACGAAAATTCAAGAGAATAATTCGAAATCAATGTTTAATGATGTGGTTGTATCCACATACACAAAATTTTCCTGATTGCATTAACTTCCGCTCGACTTTTTTTTATTTAAAATCACTTTTTTTTTGAAAAATTGTTTCAAAACACGACTTTTAAAGATGATGTCCACTAGTGTGCGCATGCTCGAACTTTGTTTACATTCCGAACTGCTATATTTGTAAAATATGATATACTAACTGATATCTAACACTTTTCTAGCCTGCGAACAGGCTTTTTGAATTGAATTAGAGCCTGCCGGTTTAGTCAATAAAAATACGTCTGTGCCCATCACTATTTATAGTGTTTTCAATCAAATGTAAAATACAATGGAACCTGCTTCGTACCCAGGCGCTTTAAATAATTACAATACATGAAGTACCTTCCCATCAGTCCCTTCGCTCATCTCTCCCCACTACAATACTTCATGTAAACTCGTCATATGCGCATCACTGTTTTTTTACAAAGAGACGTCTGGGTACGAGGCAGCAATGTAACAAATTAAACAGACACGCCTTATGTAATAGCCTGCGAATATATGTGAACAAAACGCAAATCTCGAAGTCTGTAATGTTCAATTTGAATTGGATTTATTAATTGACATTCCCTAAAATGGGCTTTTCAATGACAATTTACATGGATTTTAGAAGAAATCGACTATATGAGTTATCGACTATATATATTTACAACAATCTTATCAAAGTTATTACGCGAACTAAAATTATACTATATATATTATGCATGGTTTATGAGTTAAAAAAAGCCGGTTAAAAAGAAGGAGATCGCTTCTCAATAAGAATTGTCTTAAGTTTCGTCTTAAAATTGTTCAGATCACTAATTGATTTCAGCTCTGTATCTAGACCATTCCATATCTTAGTCCCTCGGTATTTGAACGATCTTTGACCGATCAACGTCCTATATTTTGGAATATCCAGATCTCCATTTCTTCTAGTATCTCGGTTATGAATTCTGTTTCGTTGTTCAAGTTGGAAAGATTCTGAATCTCGGTTATGAATTTAGGTTATGAATTCTGTTTCGTTGTTCAAGTTGGAAAGAATCTCGGTTATGAATTTCGGTTATGAATTCTGTTTCGTTGTCCAAGTTGTCAAGTTGGAAAGAAACTCCAAAAACATTTACACGCAAAAAAACGCTAAACATGTGAACGAATTTTGCCGTTGTTGTAATGCTTCTTTAAAAGTAACATATACAGAGATACATGGAAGTCCGTTTCAAGAGTGATCTTGCTAAAGCCAACAGTAGGGCAAGATATTTTAAAGTTCTTTTGCAAAATATCGGGATTGTTTGTGAGAGAGGTACAGAATGGTCTGAAAGATTATGCGGGACATGCATAAAAATAAAATGTGCATTTTGAATTTGTATTTTCCTTTCTCCAGTCCACATCTCAATGACGTGGACTCGTCTATATCGATCTATAACAAAAGCAACCAAACGATTATACGCAAATGACAACTTGAATATTTTAGCGTTTAGCGTTTTCAGCCGATCTAAATATCAAATGAAATTTCCCCGTTTTTATGTCCTTTATTGTTCCATTCGTCACTAAAGCAAACCGAGCTCATACCAAGGTCCTTAGCTTCTTCCATTTGGTCCTCTATAATACTAATTAGAGGATAAATGAATAAATGATGATGGCTATAGCGGTTCTTTTCTTTTTCTCTCCTCGACAAGGACCGAAAGTTTCGGTATATTAAGTTTTTGCCATATATAATATATAGCTAGCCTGTCGGTTTATTAAATACCGGCGACGATACCGGATGTAGCTTTAAAACGTAAATTATGTGAACATTTGTTTGCCGATTGCCTCCAGTGCCTCAGTTACATCGGCGGTAGGCCGGGAAAGTTGACTTCAGCTCAACTTTGCCGGTATTTCGGCGGCAAGTAGAGGCATAAGGATACAGTCGCAGGCATACCGCAGGCATATGTGAACCAGGCTTTAGTGAGTTTGGCAACCAACAAAGGCGACGGCAGAAAACAAAATTACTTACACTTTGGTATTTGAGCGAAAACATACATTACTAAACTTCTAAAAGCACTTGTCTTTTCTTTCAAACAACCCTGAAATTCCCTGAAGTAGCAATAGTAAGTGAATTCACATAAACACCGCAATGACGTCGACTTGAGTTTGAACAACTACGGCATACTAGAATGCTCAAGAATGCAAATTATAGTCGCCTTTGTCTTAGAGTATAAAGATGCTATTGTTGATATAATTGTTGTATTTGCCAAACTCTCTTATACAGCAAAAACATCGTTTCCGTCTAGAATATTGTTAAGGCCTAGTTTATACGTCGAATTTCAGTCGAATTTAATTTAAGTAAGTAAGTAAAAACTTTATTTGTCTACGCTAACCCCTACAGCAAGAGCTGATTTCCAAGAGGGGCGTAGGTTTCTCTTTCCTATCACAAGCTATTCGCATCATATTACGACACAATGTTTCAAAAATAAATATCTCGGCGAGTATTTACCCCCCTTTTAAATAAAAGCCACCATTGTAATCCTCATAAAATAACCTTTCGAACGGGGGGTCAAGTGCCGTCAGAACATTACA